CTATTAACCTCCACAGTACAGATATTTCAAGAAGCTTCGTCTCTGATCATCATGTGCCCATAGCCTATTCTTTGCTTTCATTTCCCCATCTCAGACCTAAATCCATATGCACCAGTTCTTCAATGTCAATACTCTTTATTGGAATATGATCTCTAAATTCATAAAAAAGTTCACTGGACATGCAGACAAACACAAACAACATATGTGTAAATATTATAAAACTTGGTTTGCAACAGTTTGCTTGAAGAAGGGGGTATGATTTTCACCTTTGAAGGAACTATAAAGAGTTTACTGAAAGTCTCTCTGAGAGTTCATCATCCCCAATTTTACTGGAAGGTAATACGCTAGTATCCATCTCATAGCTTTGATATTTTCCGCGTTTACAAGGTATCAGATTAGAGTATTATTAGAGCAAACATTATGCACTACTTTTGACTGAAACAAGTTCCTGTTAACATGTTCTCATTAAATATTCCTGTTACAGATTGCAACTGAAGCTGATTTAGGCCTTGCTGATGCCTATATTAATGGGTATTTTTCTTTCGTTGATAAAAATGAAGGTCTTATCAATCTTTTTAGGGTGAGTAAATTGATCCAAATTCATCGTCAACAATTTTTCATTTTATAATAATAGCCATCCTAATTCCTGTTTTGCAGATATTTATTGCCAATAGAGATTTAAATACTTCTGCCTCAATGTCAAACAACAAAAGGTAATGTTGGGTTCACCTTGTAAAATTGCTATCAAATCTTCTCCTCAAATTTTCCTTGAGAATATATACCTTCTATACCTATAGGGGATGGTGGACACCATTGCTCTCCACTGCTGGAATAGCATCTGCAAAATACTTCTTTCAACATGTTTCGAGACAAAACACCCTAACACAGGCTCGCAGGAACATCTCCCGTCATTATGATCTAGTAAGTGATTTGTTTCTTTGTGACGAGTTGATGAAGCTGTCATTAAGATAAAAGTATCTTTTCTATGCAGTTGGTAGGATGTGAATTAGAGTATTCATAACATGTGCATGAAGATGCTAAGAAATTTTTTCAATGTGCAGTGAACTTTTCAATTTTTCAGTTTTCATCCCAGGACCAGAGATTATGATAATCTCTTAAAAAGTTTCCCTGTTATTTGCATCAAGTCCTTGTTTTCATTTCTGCTAGGGTGGACGAAGCAAAAAAGAAAGCTTGTCTCTGATTATATACTTCTTGATTTGCTTGATTTGTATATTCTGTGATGTTACTTCAGTCATGTTTAGAGAAATAGCTGAAATTTTGTTGTTTATTGCTGAAACTTTATTGTCTGTTGTTTCCAGAGCAATGAACTCTTTTCTCTGTTTCTGGATGAAACAATGACATACTCTTGTGCCATATTTAAGGTTAGGATTTGAATTTTCGATCCATAGCTTTCACATTAGTTCTAAACTATCATATCCATATTTCCGCCACCATAACCCCCCCCCCCCCTCCAAAATTTTATCACTTGCAAGGCTCAAAATGAAGACTTGAAAGTCGCGCAAATGAGGAAAATTTCTCTTTTAATTGAAAAGGCAAGCCTTCATACCCCACATCACTTCAGTTTTTGAAATAATTTATTGCTTAAACTGATTATTTTTTCTATTTCAGGCACAAGTTAGTAAGAACCATCATATTCTAGAGATTGGATGTGGCTGGGGAAGTTTAGCAATTGAAATTGTTAAACGAACTGGATGCAAATATACCGGGATCACCCTGTCAGAGCAGCAACTTATATATGCTGAACTAGAAGTGAAGGAAGCTGGCCTGCAGGTATACTAAGTGTTCCTTTTGTGGGAGTTTGAAAAGACCGTCTTCTAAAAAATATATATTTATTTTACTTATGTGTGGTAACTAGGATTGTCGTGCAACCGAACAAATTGAATATTTGAGAACATGCAAATGCTTGTTTCTTTTGAGTTTCTGATTTGAGTTGTGACTAATTGAATGGGTTCTCCAAGCTTCTTATCTACTAGAGAACTTAATTTCAGGACCGCATAAGTTTCCATCTATGTGACTATCGCCAATTGCCTGACATGAAGAAGTACGACAGAATTATATCATGGTGAGCCTTTATTCAGATTAATTTTACTTCCATAGAAAATCAATTTATTTTGTCAAATTGCTGCTTACAATGTACAATAATAATCTGGTTGATAAATTTGCAGTGAGATGTTAGAAGCTGTGGGGCATGAATTTATGGAGGACTTTTTTCGTTGCTGTGAATCAGTATTAGCAGAAGACGGTATTCTCGTTCTACAGGTATGTACTGCAACAAGTCCAGTTCTTGAGGTTTGGTTTCCAATATTTTCACTGTTTTTGTCATGAGATTCTACTAGGGGGCAACACGTTTTTCCATCTTAACGTTCTTTCACTTATGCAACAGAACTGACATGGACATTTTGTTTTAAGGGTTTTCTGCATTTACTTTTTCGTGTCTTATGTTTACAATTTAGTATATCATTCAACTTTACTGGATTTAAGAAAGGACTTGTAGTTACAAAGCTTTAAGTTCTTTTATAGTTCCGTTGGGAAACTAGGCGATCAAGGGAGTTGATCAGGAATCTATGAAATTTTGCAACCTTTCATAAGGTGAATTAACATATCTTAACATTGTTAAAATGGTTGGTTTTTACATAGTTCATATCAATACCGGATGAGAGATATGATGAATACCGACGGAGTTCAGACTTTATCAAGGAATATATATTTCCAGGTGGATGCTTGCCTTCACTTAGTCGAGTAACGTCAGCCATGGCTGCTGCATCCAGACTTTGGTAAAATCAAAATCTTTGATCCTTTTTCCCATATGCTTTCTTAAAATAATATGTAAAAAACTCAATGGAAACCTTTTCAAATGCAGTGTCGAGCACCTCGAAGACATTGGAATTCATTATTATCAAACACTCAGATGTTGGAGGGAAAACTTTCTCAAGAAGCAGAGGTGAGAAATAGCCATAGTTTGATGTATGTATTATTAACAAACATAACCATACAAGAAGTTTGCTTAATATTGTCTGGAAGAAAGTGTGGTATGGAGTATAACATACATCTGCACAGTACAATGCACAAGATTTTAACTTTATTTGAATTCAGATTCTTGATACTTGGATATTAACATATGTACCTTTTCAGCCAAATCCTTTCTTTGGGATTCAATGAGAAGTTTATTCGAACATGGGAATATTATTTTGACTATTGTGCTGCTGGATTTAAATCTTGCACACTTGGAAATTATCAGGTACAACACTATCTTAACTTCCCAAATGCTTTTTATAGGAATAATTCTATTTGTACCGAATTCAACTTACCGAAAGTTGTCCCCCTCTCACAACGCACCCGAGCCTCACATGAATATGAAAATTTCCAAATGTGATCCCCACCCCTTATTGTGAATAGTAGGTAAAGGATTAGGTAAAAAAATTATGTAAATGTAGCATTGTCAAAAGAGACTAAAATATTGCCCCTCTATTTAACCCTTTTTCTTCTTCTTATTACTTTATCTTGTTATAAGACGTGACAAAGTTTTGTGTTAAGTATACACTTAGCTAGATCATCCTCTTGTTGCTGAAAATTTCGATGCTTTAATATTTCTTACATTTTTCTACAGATTGTCTTCTCGCGACCTGGCAATGTTGCTGCCTTTGGTGATCCATACAAGGGCGTGCCTTCTGCATATTAACAGCATTTTCTCATGAAATATTCCAGAATGATTTGTTAATTCATTGTTTTGAATGCTTTTAGGAGCACCATAAAATGTATTAGTTACAAATTGTTGCGTGAATTCAAAGTGAGTGAGTTCTTGGATTATACATTTTCCTTTTTGTTTCACTTATGATGACTCATTTAATTCCACCTATCGTTTAATGTCACATTAGTGTAACGTAAATTGGGATTATAACTAAAGTGGACTAAATATCATAACTCTTATTTTTCTTGGATTATAATTCCTCCTTTTTGTCTTTCGTTTCAAGTGTTTTCAATCTCAAAACTAGAGAAACTTGAAGAAAGCACGTGAAAATCCTAATTGTCTCTAGTTTAAAAGATGATTAGTCCCAACATAATTAATAAGCAAGTTGCTTATGCAAGGCAATACATCGAGCTATAATCGCTTAACTCGTATTAGTTTTCTTCTACTTTTTGAATCCAAGAAAGAATGTCTACGTACCCTTGGTAAAGTAGATTGAAATAGTATTTCTTCAATGTAAATTTCAGAAATTTTAGAATATAAAGCTTCTCCTGCTATATGGATACAAAGATAACAAATAATTTCCATGCTTCAAATCATTGCGCTAACAAGATACTTCATTCTTGTAATGGGAGTACCAAACCGATAGCATGATCCTGCCAAAATACATCAAATGGCAAATGATGATAACCCAATTTCTTAACTTCTCTTCGACCACCCCATTTCTACTCTCAAATGAACTCACTGAAGTGATTTAACAACCTGCTCGAAATTGTCATTCGAATGAATAACCCGTTAACAGCAGTTATCAACTAGAGAACAATAAAAATGTCTGCTGTACAACCACCTCACTAAAAATGCAATCAACAGGCATAACACCAAGTTTAAACTGTAAACAGAAACAAGTTGATCCAGCTTTAAATCCACTTTATATCATCCACAGTACCACAAAATTTCTAAGGACTACACTCAAGTGTATGCAAATTTCATCCTCAATGTCGACCAACAAAACTAAAGCACGGGATAATCTAACTTCCAACTCCAAGATATTCAAAACAGCACATTCTTATTTGCATGAGGTACAGTTAGATTAATCCTAGGAAATATTGAATCACCAATTTAGAATGTCATAAATTGGTTGTGCTAAATAACATAAGAACTTCAAATGAAACTATTCTATTCAGAACAAATTATTCTAATTTTAAATGAATTAGGAAGACTACTGTTATTCAGGAAAAGGAAGAGCAAAAGAAAACATAAATGAACAAAAGGAAATAAAGTTAGTTCTTTTGACTAAAAAGAAACTTGCGTATTAGATTGATTTTTAGCCAGTTAGGGCAGTATCTAAGAACAAATTTTAAACTCTAGTCTATAATGCTATCAAATCACCAGACAGTTCATGTTGTCATTACTAAACCAACTGCTCTCTGAGATCAACATACCAAACATGTCTTCCATGAATCTTCATCATACTAAAACCTCGATGAAGATGAGAGATTCCAGTTTGAAAGCTGCTTCAGCACCAGTTTCAGGGTAACACGTCATATAAACCAAGCCAAGTCCACTTTTTAAGTTCCATTTCCATGCTAAACACGTACACCCTGCATGAAACTCGTGTTTAGCTTGAGTGGACACTTCAGTTCATCCACCTTAGTTCTCGAGCATCTCTCCTCCTGTACAACACAAGGGCAAATACAGGGGGAAATGATTATGACATCGTCAAAATTTTAACTACCACTAAGATTATTGCTACCCATTACGAATCTGATCTACTCGGTATTGCAGTAGCTCTACTTCTATAGATAAATAGGATACTCTCCAGCAGAAAAAGTCCAACTAACACCAAGAGTTTCACCACCTATAACAAATTGAAGTACCCAAGATTGGATTCCCTATTAATAAGGGTCAGTTTACAAAATTTGCTGTCTAATGACATTATAATAAGAAACTTCATTGCAAAGTAACAGCAACGCAATTCATACACAACATCGTAATGCCATAGTGATGGAATACTACTTGTCATGTAATTACCAAGAAGCTTCCATATCAGCTAAAATCTGCTAAAGAAGGCCAGAAATTAAAAACTGACTTGATAGGATTACCAAATAACTTGTCTTAACTCACATAAAAATTCCACATAAGCTATATCTCAACATTACGATAAGAAAAGACTCCAGAGCAGCTATCAAAAATAGCTATAAGCAAGCCAAAATTTAAACTACACTTAAACGCAAATAGAAAGTGAAATAAACTCTGATCCTCAAGAAGTACTACTTATTATAGACTGAGCAAAATAAGTACGGTAAAAAACTGGCATTCAAGCAATCCAACAAGCCCCAATATGCCAGTGACATCTTGCAAGAGCCACCTAACCTGCACTTGAAATGGGAAAGCATTGATGGCATAAACCTCCAACCAAGGATTGATGGAATCAAGTAGTAAAATCACTGCTGCTGAGCCTGTCTAGTTGGACCACTGCCATATCCACCACCATACCCAGCTTGACCACCATGAGATCCATTTGATTGTTGCCCAGAAGCTTGTGAAGGGTCAGATCGCCAGCCTGAGTTACCATAACCGAAATTACCACCAGCATCACTGTAGCCACCTCCCATATAACCCCCAGGACCTGCTTGCAGCTCTCCTGCCGGTGCACTGCCATTTGGGCCACTTCCCGTACGCCCACCGACAGCCCCATAAGCAGCAGCTTGGTTCCCATAAGTTCCATCATTGCCACCATATACACCATAACCATAACCTTGATTACCATATCCAGTAGTTCCGCTTGACGGTTGACCAGCAGTTAACCCACCACTTCCAAGGCCATTGCCAGCACTAGGATTAGGGCTACCCCACTGAGAATTTCCATAGCTCATATTTCCATATCCAGAAGGAGCCTGTGAACCCCATGAACTTCTTTGGGCATTAGGAGCATTAGGATTTCCATAGCCTGAACCAGCACTCCCATAATTTCCATAGCCACCATAACCCATGCCATTATTGCCAGGACCATACCCAAAAGCAGAAGTATTAAACCCAGATGGACCATAAGGCGGATACCCAGCTCCAGCATTTTGAGATTGCATGTACCTGGAGGAATCCATTCGACTATCTCCAAAAGAAGAACCATACCCCTGATAGCCCCCAACACTGCCGCCACCTGTCCCACCACCCATGGAACGACCACTCCCACCAGGATTGGCATCTTTAGGAAGAGCACGCTTCACTTCAACATGCTTACCATTTAGATCATGAAAAGTCTTGTGTAAAACCCTATCTACTGCATCCTCAGAATCAAATGAAATAAACCCAAATCCACGAGGTCTGTTTGTCTGCTGGTCATACATTATTACTACATCAGTTACAGTGCCATAAGCTTCAAAATAATCACGGAATCCATCTTCAGAAAGAATTGGTGGCAGTCCCCCAACAAATATCTTCTTGGTCCTGGTATTGCCAACACCTCCAAAATTCCTAGACGTATTAGGGTTTCCACCTTTTGAAACTTGTTGTTCCTCTCTTGATAAGGCTCTCTTTGCTTCGACCTATTAGGATTTAGGAAAAAAAGTGTCCTCTGGTCATGATATAGGATAAAAATTACAAAACATACAATAAAATTCTAAATTTCAAATATATGTAGAACGAGACTGAAATCTAAAGTACATTCAGGTGTAAATTTCTCATGGAGGGAGATTACATTAAAATATCAATAAAGCGAGAAATTTAAATTTTCAACGAGTAAGCATATTCAGTTGTTGGAGAACAGTACTGTTTATATCTGCGACATGGACCTAACATGAGTGGCGGTAACCAGTAGAAACACAAGAACACAGAACAGAGAGTCATATGATCCAAAAATAAATCAATTTGATGCAACTCAACGTTAGCAACAATTAGAAAATGATACTTACACGACCAGAGATTAAATAACAAGTCTACCCCTGAAAAATAAACTGTAGAATAAATAACTAAGCCTAATGCCTCCCAAAAAAAAACAAAAAGGAGACCGGTCAGAGGGAACAATGATACAGAATCGGAATCTGGAAGGTGAATTTGTGTGCAAGGATGCGAATTTGCAAACCTGCTTGAGTTTCAAGTTCTAACTCTATATATGTGTACTTTCACACTTGTATGTCCACTATTTTGTGCGCGCGCGCGCGCGCAAGTCTTTGCCTGCACCCACCTGTGCATGGAGGCTGATGCACAGGCGAGTGAAAGAGAGAGTGTTGGTATGGGACTGGGAGGGGTTGAAAAAGAAGCTGCAGAGAGGAAGTATTTTCTTACCTGCATCATTGTTCTTATTTTCTTTCCTCATTATATTCTTCCTTCTTTAATAAAAAGGTGTATGTACTTCAAACAACAAAAGAAACTACTCAGTCATATTATCCAGAGGTGTAGATAACTTTGATTCCAATTCTGATTCAAACCATATAACATTTCTTACAATTTTGATTTCAAATCCTTTTTGCACCCCATGGTGTTGGCGTATTTTTCATTTCGAATCTATTTCCAAGGATAATCCTCAATTATAAAAAGATTTATATGTGGAGAGAGACCTAAAATTGAGGCCAAATTCTCCAAGAAAATGTGCATTCATAATATCAGCAATCATTAAAAACATTTTACAAAAGCTAACAGAGATTGAGGTGCCATATTAGAATTGCAAAGCTTTTAGCCTTCTTAAATCTCATAAAAAATCACTTGACCAGATCAGATATCCACATGTCAAATGAGGACCACAACAGAAATAATATTCAGCTAACTATTTGAAATCGTACAGAAATAACAAAAAAAACCCATAATTATGAATGCACGGAGGAAAAAAATTAAATGACGAACCAGTAAAAATCGCAGAAAATAAGTCATATCCAGATACCTAAATGACTAAAGAAAAATAAATACAGGCAAAAGCAGCCATACCAACAAAAATTTAGATGCCATATTGAATTCAAAAAAAACCCCAAACTTCCAAATTTAAAGCAACAAACAAAAAAAAATGACGAAAAATTATTTATCATCATTATTCAGATTAAATCTCACCGTGCGGCCATCAATAACATGTCTCTCTTGAAGAACCGTGTCAAGAATGTTTGGATCTGCAAATACGACAAACCCAAATCCTCTGGGTTTTCCAGTGATCTTATCTCTCATCACCACAGCCTGCAAAACCTCACCATAGCCTTGGAAATGCTCCTTGAGCTTTTCCTCATCTGTCTCCCATGATATCCCTCCGATAAAAAGCTTTCCTTGATCTGAATCCATGTATAAATATATGTATATGTATGTATCGGTTGGGCGTTTCTCTCACTCTCCGTGTGAAAATATTGGGGGTTTGAGAGAGTGTGAGCGCAGACGGCGGACCTGAGTCGTGATGGGGAGACAAAAATTTATGCGTGTAGTGTAATGGATCAAGGGTTTTGATGTGATGGGGGACATAGGGATTGAAAATTGACGGCTGAGATTTGATGGGTGGATATTTTAGGTGGGGAGGTGTACGATGTTACGGTTACCATTTTACTACTTCCTATAATTGCATACAGCTCAATTTGACTCCTTTTATTTCACAACACTTTATTTTTTAATATATTTTTTTTAATTATAGTGATAAAAAAATTATAGTGATAAAATATCTTGCATATAAATATAGGGAGTGTTTGATATACATTTTTATGTAAAAATGAATTTTAGAATAATAAATTGATGTGAAATGTGTAGTTGAAAAATATGCACATCTTCATTTCCAGACGACTGGACCTAAATATGTACATGGATGATTAGATTCATTTTTATGTGAACATGTGGGTTGAGTTGAGTCGAAACATTGCCTAAGCAAATTGAGTCGAGTAGAATCGAGCTTAATCCTTGAAGTTCATGGATGTCGCAGTCGACTCACAGTGTGCATTCGTGAATCTTATCTCGTATATATATTTTAAAACTATGCTTAAAAGAAATCGAAGGGTGCGAGCTACTGCCCATTGATACCCTAGGCGGTGTGAGGGGTTACACATTGAAGTGTTCTCAAGTTTATAAAAATTCAGAATAATTTGATTCGATGAATAAATAAATAATTAATTAGACTCTCATGGAGGTGTGTGTATTCATAATCTGAATAATGATTGAAATAATATGAGCAATAATGAATTTTTGTCTTTTTCTTTTCTTTCACACTTTGTAGCAATAAGTCAATAACTACTGAGATTTAATTGGGATCTAGACCTCCGGCTCCTACTCTAACTAAAAAATTAATTTTGGTACTTTTAATCAAGAATCAAGAGTCCTAATCTCGTCTATAGTAGGTAGGATGAAAATTTTCCATAATTAATGTGGCAAGAAAACTTTAAATATGATTATTTGAAACGATCATAAATTCAGATAACTACAAGTAAGGGTTTTTGTATAGTCAGCCATGAAAATTTTTAAGAAAAATTGTAGTAGAGGTCCCAAAGCTTTCTTTTTATTGCAGATTATACCCTAATCTTTTATTTTTACTGCAGCTGTGCCAAGTCTTTATACCTAATTGCAGCCATGATCCAAATCATTGATTCCATCCATAATGCCATTAGTCAACAGTGAAATTGCAATTTTGACTCAAATGGACAAAATAAATGACGGGCAAAATGGTATATTACAATTTCCATAAACATTTAATTAAACACAGAAAGTCAAAGAAAAATAAAATCATCTCCTTCTCAAACCCGAGCCCAACCAAAATTGACCACCATCGCCACCACCACTTCTCTCACATTCATTCAACCATTGTGATTTGTAAGGCTTAGGATGTTTTAGCATTGTTAATCTCAACTTTTCAACAAGTGTAGTGCTAGCTACATTAGCAGCTATCCATCAATAATCATACTACATATCTTGTTGTTAACATGGCATCTCGTATGAAATGTATTCTCCCATTATTGCTCTATGTCATCCACTTTGAAAGCAAATATGCTTCTCAATAATATCCTTTAAAATTGTGTGTTTTACAATGAAAATAATCAATCCTATTTATAAGAAACTCATAAAAACTCCAATTGAAATCGAATTAAAGTTTTAAAATACCAAAATATACCATAAAATAGAGTTTTAACAAAAAAAATAGGATATTATGTGAAATTTGAAAAATTCGCATCTCCGATTGTACTATGCGGCTGCATATTATTATGTCCAGCGGTTGGGCCAAGCAGTAACCGGCATGTTGGTCTCTGTATTGAGGCATGCCGTCAACTGTGCGGTCGCACAGTTGAACGCATCAACTTTTTCGTTTGTCTTGATCCATCTTGTTCTTCTTCAATGCCCAAAATGAAATGTGTACCTTTGCTCATCTCGTTGGTCATTCCTCCACGATCAACGGATCATTGTCCTTGCTAACTTTTGTACAATGGACTTCATCATGGAGTTTGAGTACTCTGTTTAGAGAATTGCACTTTGGAATAGGTGTCAAGTTGGATATTATTGGAATATGACCAAATTCTATTGGGATTAGGATTGGGTTGGTTAATTGAGGTTAATTGATAAAAGGAATAAGAGTCTTGGTTTATGAGCCTATAAAAGGGATCAAAGTTCATCAATGATTGAAAGTTTAATTAGTATTAGTCGTTGTCACGTGCGTTGCACGAGTTTTGTATTTATTATATTTTTATCAACGTCAAAATTATAGATTTTTCAAAACTTGTTGAAGATTCGAAGTGTTTGATGAAATCCCATCGTTTGGTTCATTGTAATTAAAAGATTTTATAATAACTTTTTTATTCTTTAATTTGTTAAACCATTTATTTATTTATTTTTTATTCATATTGGTGTAAAATGATAATTACAATTGAGTTCGCTTAATTTTGTTAAAATTATGGTTTATTCAATTAGTTCTTGTTCAATGTTCTAATATTTGAAAATTTATTATAAAGGACTATCAAGGAATAGAGACTTTACAAATAAAGCCCAAGCATTGGCGTTCCATTGCTGTCATTTTATATGTATATGGTTACAATTATCTACTGAAAAAATTACGTTTGATCATAAAATAAAAAGAATTAAAAAAAATTTTAAATCGAAAAAAATATTTATAATATGAAGATTAAAGAAATTTTAAAACAATGTTCAAAAAAATATAATAAAAACAAAACAAAATAAATAAAATAAAGTTACAAAAATTAAATAAAAAAATATATAAATATTATTTAATTAAAATTAAAAAAAATTAGGTTTGATCATAAAGAGAAAAGAATTAAAAAGAATTTTGAATAGAAAAAAATTAAATTTTATCGGAAAATAAAAAGAATTTAAATTGAAAAAAAAATTATTTATAATATGAAGAAAAAAGAAATTTCAAAACAATTATAAAAAATATATATAATAAAAGAGTTATGAAAATTAAATAAAGAATACATAAATATTATTTAAGTAAAATTTAAAAAATTAAGTTTTATCGTAGAAAGAAAAAGAATTTTTTTAATTGAAAAAAATTTATTTACCATATGAACAAAACAAATTTAAAAAAAATGAAAAAAAATTTCAATCTCTCTGTACGACGAAATTTCGTGTATTAAAATGCAGAAATCGTTACAAATTGTATTTAGCTAAATACAAGTGATGTTGACCTTCTTGTAGTTGCAAAATTGCAAAATCCTCTGATTAATGATCTGAATATTTGAAGTCGAGGGGCCACATGGCTTAAATCCTGATCTTCAATAATTTGTTGAAAATTTGATTTGTCGATATTTGACTTGTTTAGAACTTGAATCTTGAGGCTTGGATTTGGACTTGGACTTGGATTTGATTTGATTTGAAAAAGACTTTGATCTCTTTGGACTTGACGTGAACCTGTTTGATTCGAAGAAGATTTTAATCTTCTTGGGGTTCACCAGATTTGAATTTGAGAAGAATTCTTCACTTCTTCAGGTCCTGAAATTTCTTCAGTACTTCGTGGTTGTGTTCTCTACTTTTCTTTCACCTCTTGTGCTTTCTGTCTCTTGCGCCCCTATCTTATGGACCATTGGTCCTATTTATAGAGAAAATTTTGTGACCAATTTTGGTAACCACTCAATTATCTCTAATTAAGAGATATAATTGAGTAATTTATGATTTTATTTATTTATTTATTTTATTTATATGTTTATTTATTTTAAAATGTGGTATGGACCTTCGTATTTTATGGGCTTTAGAAGACTTTAATAAATTTAATTGGGTTGATTATTTAAATCGACCCAATTCATTTTATTTATTTATTTATTTTATTTTTTTATATCTACACTCTCCATCCACAGAGAGATCTTTTCGTGGATGGAGAGATTTCTTCATCCATTGTGGGATGGAAAGATGTGTGGACGGAGTGATTTCTCTCCATCCACACACATCTCCGTCCACGGAGAGAAATTTATTTTCCTTATTTTTTAAAATTTGTTTTGTTTATATTATAAATAATTTTTTTCAATATAAAATTCTTTTTCTCTTTATGATAAAATTTAATTTTTTCAATTTTAATTAAATAATATTTATATATTTTTATGTAATTTTTGTAACTTTCTTTTTTGTTTAATTTGTTTTTGTTTTTATTATATATTTTTTGAAAATTGTTTTAAAATTTCTTGTTTCTTTATATTATAAATAACTTTTCTTCGATTTAAAATTATTTTCATTTTATGATAGAACATAATTTGTTCAATTTTAATTAAATAATATTTATTATTAATTTTAATTATTTCAATTTAATTTATAATAATTTATTCTATTTTTGTCTACAATTCTTTTTTTTTTTGTTCTTTAATTTGTTAAATCATTTAGTTTGTAATTATCATTTTACACCAACATGAATAAAAAAATTAAATGATTTAACAAATTAAAGAACAAAAAAAATTGTCGACAGAAAAAAACAAAATTGTAAAGTTTTTAAATTAAATTGAAACATTTAAAATTAAAAATAAATATTATTTATTTAAAATATAAAAATTACGTTTTATCATAAAGTGAAAAGTAGGGCTGGACAAAAGTTACGAACCGAACCGAACCCAAACTGAACCAAACCCAACAGTTTTTCTCAAGTTAAATACCCGAACGGGTATTTGAATCAAGAACCGATGGGTATGGTTCGATTTTCGGTTCTAGGCCAAGACCCAAAAAATCGAATAAAAATCGAATCTCTGTAATTTTTTTAATTAATTTATTTTAAATAAGTAAATTTATTTTATTTTTTCTAAATAAATTTGTTAAATAGTTATGAATAAAAAAATTAAATGATTTAACAAATTAAAGAACAAAAAAAATTGTCGACAGAAAAAAACAAAATTGTAAAGTTTTTAAATTAAATTGAAATATTTAAAATTAAAAATAAATATTATTTATTTAAAATATAAAAATTACGTTTATCATAAAGTGAAAAGTAGGGCTGGACAAAAGTCACGAACCG